TGATAATTTTCATTGTCCTATCTTCAAGATTGCTGATTCTTTCTTTTGGCTGCTCAACTCTGCCTTTAAACTCCTCTGCTGAATTTTTTATTTTAGATTTTGTACTTTTCAATGCCACAGTTTATTTTTGGTTTCTTTCTTAGGCTTTCTATCTCTTTCTTGACATTTCCATTTTGTTCATACATGACTTTCTTGATTTTATCCACATCTTTCTTGAGCATTTTTAGGAGAGTTGCTTTACAGTCTTTGTCTAGTAGATCTGCTGTCATATACTAGATCATGGACTGTTTTTGCTGATTTATTTATTTTTTCCTTTGAATATGCCATATTTTCCTGTTTCTTTCTGTATGTTCCAGCCCTACAGGGTCCCATGAGTCCCTCTCTGCTAGTGTGGAGACAAGAAACTGTGGAAGTAAAAGACACAAGACACAGAGATAGAGAAAGAGAGTTTGGGCCCGGGAGTCCACTGCCAACCAAAGCACGGAGTCCAGCCATGGCCCCAGTGCCTGGATGCTCTGACTTAGTTACTGAGTACAAAGTGGGGAGAAGGGTGGGTAGGATGAGGTAATGGTGGTCAGTGATAGGGTCAGGTAAATCACGTGTCTTGGAGACAGGGACCCAAGACTTTGAAGAAGCCGAGGCAAGGAGAAAACCTAAGGCGTCAGCACTTTTTTCGTATTTGTCAAGAAATAACAAGGTCACTAAGATTTATGTTACTATTACTAATTCTTATCTTTTAAGAAAAAGAGGAACCAGATGTAGAAGCAGAACCTGAAAGTAGACATGGAATGTGACTGCTGAAGCACAGCACCACATAGAGACAATTAAGTCCCCGGATGTTTGTGGGTCTCCCTGACAGCCGTCGGGCTTACCACAAGAGCTTGGAAGAGCAGAGTTTTCTCCTCACTCCCCGGAGGAAGGAGACGTCTCGGCCATCTTGAACATCTCCTTCCCTAGCTGGCTAAGCTGCGGGCGCTTTCACAGCGCTGACATTGTTGCACAGCTGAGGTGTCCTCCAGCAGCCCTTATGCAGGCGTGACAAAGGGCTTAGAGCATCTTGCCTTAGGGTCACCTCTTTTCCAATGCCACTTCAGTCCCATACTTCTTGACCTGAGACTCATTAGTAAGATTAAAGATTATATGATTATATATATATATGTATATACCTATGATTACATGTGAACAGCTATGTGATTATTTATTATTCTATATATAGGAATAACTATGTAACTATATCTCTAATTCTTTTCTAATTCTATGTTTATATGAGAACATGCTGAGGCTTCAGACCCTTGCCTCGGCTCTTGTGGGGTTCCCCCCCATCTTTCTATGCCTTATGATTTTTTGTTGAAAATTAGACCTTTGAATCTAATAATGTGAGAACTTTGGAAATCAGATTCTTCCCCTTCCTTGGTGTTTGCCGCTTTTTGTTATTGTTTTTATTTATTGTGGTTCTTTTTATTGCTGTAGGTTGTCTCTTTGCCAAAGACTAGCCTGAGGTGTAAACTTAAGATCTTCTCAGGTGTTTTCTAAGCCTGCAGCTTTCCCTGTGCGTGTGCAGTCACTTTCTAATTTCCTCTATATATGCACTTGTTTTTGAATGTCCTAGTCTTTAATCTGTGGCTTCCAAAAGGGAAAAGGGGAAAAATGAAGGAAGGCAAAGGAAAAGTGGTTCTGCCCCTTTAAATCTTGGGAAGTTGCTTCAGCCAGATGAGGACTTGCAACGGTGGAGAGAGGGGAAACAAAAGGCCACCCACATCTTTGTCTGCAAGTCTGTGATCAGGAGGAGCAATCAGCTCTCTGAGGACATATCTGCAATACTGGGAGGGCAAGTTCCCTTTTGCTCACCCTTGCTCCTGTTCGTTATGTGGAAACTGTTCCATTAACATGTGCACCGTGCTTGCCACAAGGCTGGGGCTGCTGGATGGGTAGCTGCTAGTGGACTAAGCTGAAATTGACCAAAATTAAACCCACTTTACCGTCAAACTTTCCCATGAAAATTGCAAGTCTCCAGTATATTCCAGAGTTCCAAAATAGCTATATTGGAGTCTGTCAGTGAAATTGTTGTCTCAGTGGGGAGACTGATTTTTAGTGCTTCCTACTCCACCACCTTCCCAGAATCTTCCTAACCTTAAATTTTAAACATGCACACTAAAAATTAATTTTTTTCGAATTATTCAGCTGATCAATTCTCTTCCTGACAAAAGCCTTACCTGTGTTATCTTCCCTCAGCACTCTATCTCCGCAATTCTCATGTTGTTTTGAATTTTAGTATAAGCTCGTTATGAGTGCACAGAAAACTTTTCACCACCCCTTCTCCATATATTTCCTTCTCTCTGTCCTTCTTTTTATAAGTGCGAGTACAGACTCAGGAGTAAAACTATCTTGGCACAAATCTGCTCCACCAGGTGTGTGACCTTGGGCAAGTTTCTTTACCACTCTGAGCCCAAGTTTCCTCATCTTTATAAAGTGCGATAATATAAGTTTCTGTTTTAGGGTCATGATGAGTATTACATTATTTAGTATATGTAATGTGCTTAAAGCAGTACCTGACACAAGGTAAGTTCTCAATAAATGTGGTTTTTTTCACTCCTTCCTTGTCTGCTTAACTATCAATGCATATTGAGATTTTAAACCCCTTTTAATTACTATTTCCTTGCTGTTATTTCTTGACTTCCATTCTTTCCTTGTGAGTTTCTCATTCTTATTGCTAACATACATTTTTTTCAGTAATTCTGTCACCAAGAGTTGATGGATAGCAAAATGTTCAAGTTCTCCTGTGTTCCATGTATTCATAAGTTCTAGGCTCACAGGTTTCTTGTCATGCTTTGAAGACATTAATTGTGACACATATGGCAAATAAGGACTGAGTATCCATCCCAATCTCCTAATGTACCTTTCTGGACTTCACAGTCAGAAAAGTCCACATCTAATATTTCTCATATTACCCTGTAGTTGGAGGTTCTGAATATGAATGATATCCCACCAGTTAGGTACTCTTGGGTGAGATTGAAATGATAGATAGGAAGCAGCAGCCACCTTCCTGCTCCGTTGGGTCTTTCTGCTTGTTAATACAGTCATGCAGACTTTATATTTTCCTGCTGCAGTGTTCCTTTGTGTAGTCACTAGCTTCACGGTGTCAAAAGGTGGTTATGATATGACAGCAGCTTTCTGATCTCTGAATCACAGCTACAGTGTTGGGCTCCCAATTTCCTGCCATCTGAATTGAGTACAAGTGTTACCTACTTTGGTGAGCCAGTTCTGTTGTGGTATCCTGGGAGTGTTTTTTAGAAGTCCAACCTACATTCCTCTCTTTCAGCCTTTGAAATAATTTCATAAACACCTGGTCCATGGTTGAATTGAACTTCTGTTTAAAATAGCTACAGTGATTTCTGTTTCCTGCAACTGAACCCTTACTGATGCATCGTCTTCTGGCACCCATTTTTGTGGATATTTGGTGTCAATCCAGCTTTTTTTCTTTTTATGGGTAATTTGTCTTTCCTCTCTAGTGACTTTTAGGATATTTCCTTTGTCTTCAGTGTTGTTTAGTTTAACTGTAGGGGCCCAGCGGTATATTTTGTGTGTGTACATATCCTAATCACCATTTGAGGTTTATTTTTTTTTGCCATATTGGTACAAATCCAGACCCTGCACTGAGCACAGTGCAAAATCAGGAATCGAGTCTTTCATTGAGAGGGACTGAGATGTTTCACTTTGTTTCAATTCATGGTTTAAGCAGGGGACTCACTTTTAGTAGAGACGTGAGGTGGGTAGGTCATGATATTCTGATTTTTATTCATGTTGGAAACATTTTTCTACCTTCTAGATCCATACAGAACACCTAGTTCTGGCTCCTTACCACATGCAGTGCCTGCTTACATTTAGATCGCTCTCCTAGCTTCTCAGACCTGTTTCCCTTGCTAGCCTCCAAGGCAGTGAAGCTACAGGTCCCATTTACTGCTCTGCAATCCTTCTGCTTCTGGGTCTTAGAGATTTCCTATTTTACTTTGAGAGTGGCTACTATTTTTAAAATATACTGTCCATTGTTATGGTGTGTTTGGAAAAGAAGGTAGGGAAGCAATGGGTTAGGGTAATGTTCTTTCACAGTTAATTCAAACTGACATCCTGGCCTGAAGTTGCTACCCATCACTGAATGATAAAAGGCACATCTCATTTCCTTTCATTTTTATTTCTTTTTTCTTTTTTCTTTTTTTTTTTGAGACAGAGTCTTGTTCTGTCACCCAGGCTGGAGTGCAGTGGCACGATCTCGGCTCACTGCAACCTCCGCCTCCTGGGTTCAAGCAATTCCCTGCCTCAGCCTCCTGAGTAGCTGAGATTACATGCACACACCACCATACCTGGCTAAATTTTGTATTTTTAGTAGAGACGGGGTTTCACTATCTTGGCTAGGCTGGTCTTGAACTCCTGACCTCATGATCCACCTGCCTCAGCCTCCCAAAGTGCTGGGATTACAGGCATGAGCCACCATGCCCCGCCTCACTTCCTCTTTTTTAAAAAAATTACTCCCGATAGTTGAAAACGGAAGTACAACTAAGCAATAGGAATATGAAAATATTTAATCCTGATTATGTATTCAAATGAATACAACATAAAAGATCAAAATAAACTTTTAACCTATCAAATTGAGAGACTGACAAACCTGTTGTGAGACTCAGGGATAGGTAAAGGGGAGTAGAAGGAAAGAATCAAGTTCTCTCTCCTAGGAAACGGAGTTAGCTCTAGCATTAAAATAGAGATGATCAGGAAGGAAACATGCATCTATAGCCATACCACCCTGAATGCACCCAATCTCATCAGATCTTGGAAGCTAAGCAGGGTTGGGCCTGGTTAGTACTTGGAAGGAAGACTGTCCAGGAATACCAGGTGCTGTAGGCTTTTTTGAAAAAAAAAGGAAACACTTTAGAGAAGTGATGGGTTAAATATTATATTATCTTGAAGAAAGAGAAATGCACCCAGCTTGAGGAAATGAAAGGCAGTAATGAATTTTTAAATCTATTTAATCAGAATTGCCACCATCATCTCAAAAAAACTCTCATCCTGACTGGAGTGAGTAGTGTAACTTGGTACTCCAACGCTGGAGAGTTTCAAAAGCCCTAAGCCATGCATACCCTTTTGTGCACGTTCTAGGAATATATATCAAGGAATTGATCATAATTGCGCCACAGCATTTATCCACAATGGCATTTGTCAGTATATCACTTATGAAAACAAGGAAAAATAACGACAGAAAGCAAACCAACCCCCACCCCCCAAATAAATGACAACAAAGGAAAACAACCAAGAGGGACTGGGGGATACATGATGAAACCTTCATACAAAAGAGTTGCTAGGTAGCTTTGGATGTAGGAAAATACATAACATGGTAAGACAAACAGGAAATAGTGGAATCTGATTTCAAAGTAGTATGTTTACAGTTTTATATACGTAAAAGATGCACACAAAGTGAAAATTTGTGCAAAACCCAGCAATTTACCTTGAAGGTGGGTTGGGTAGGAGTAGGATGGGATTTTGCATGCTCTTTCTATTTCCCATTTCTCAGTGTATTTGCTCTGGTGCCCCCGGAACTGCCCACTTGGCTGCTTTCTTGCCCTTTCCTGACTCAGTCGCTTAGGTCCCAATCAGTCTCTGGAGGTGGAATGGAGGGAAGACGGGTGGGCCTATCTCAGGGTAGCCCCAGCTGCTCCCACTGGGGAGCTCCATTTGGAGAAAGCTCTCAAGTCTACCCTCATCCAAGCCTTGGATTTCTTTTCTGCCTCATGGACCCCACCCAGAAAGGACAGGGTCATCTTCCATCTTTGCTATTCCATTCCATCACTACTCCAACCCAATTCCCTGCCTCTCCAGGGAGGATTGGGAGCTCAGGAAAAGAGCTTCTGCTTGGGGTTCTATTTCAGATTTGGTTCCTGTCCTTGGTTTCTCTGTAAAATGGGGATAATGGTTAGGTGGTTTGGGGATTATGATGAGATTAGAATGCAAAGCACCTAGAATGCACCTGGTACATGGCAGGCTATCATCAGAGGTCCGTTCCCTTCACTTGGTTCCTTTTCCCCACAGTAACAAGGCTGCTCCAGGTGAGATCAGATGACAAACATTGAACAGACACCATCATATTCACTGCTTACAAGCATCCCAAAGGAGCCTTACTAAAAACTCGAGGTTGTACAGTTTGCCTGGCACCACACAGTAGGAAGTGGAAGAGCTGGGCTCAGGGCTTAGGGCTCAGGTCTCCTGGGCTCCCATTGGAGGAGAACTGGCTTTCCTGCCTTCCCTTCCTCTGTAGCAGGGATGGGTCCTCTCTCTTCAGGAGGTCTTGGAGCCAGGCTCTGGGAGGATCATCCCCCATCTTGGTTTGCCAAGTCGCTTCATCCCTGGAGTGGGAGTGGGACCATCAGGGACTGAAGAGGACCATCTAGACAAAGGGGAGGGAAGCTCAGGGCCTGGGGCCCATTTCTCCTGTGGTGGAAGATACCATAGGGTGTTGGCACCAGTGCTTTTGGAAGGGTCCTCCTTGTGAGAGTGCTCTGACCCCTGGGTAGCCCTTAGCAACAGGAGTGGCCCCAGGGCCCCTAAACCAGGCTGCACTCCTGAGTCTTTGCCACCTCCCTGTGTCCTCTGATGCCTCCCTCCTGGGGCCCTGTGGGCCTTCCTCTAACACTCCCCTCAGCCCTCCCTCTCCCACCTTCTACCTGCTTGCCAACCCCTACAGCAGTCACTAGGGAGCTCTCTCCTGTGGGAGTCACGAGGGAGGGAGGCTCCGATGGCACAGTTTGCCTCCAAGGTGAGGGAAGGGAAGCAGGTTTCCGGGACCAGGTCCTTTATCTTCTCCAAGATTCTGCAGTAACCTGGCTGGTAGGGAGGCAGTGGGAGGTGGCCTCAGGCAGGGAGGGGTCTCAGCACTACACAAAATGACCTGCGTGAAGTCTGCTTCATTTGACTTTACTCTAATCAACCCTCAGGATTCCACTGACAGGCACTTTTGATCACTAGACTCTAAAATGGAAGAGGACTTACATTTTGGGTCATTTGAACAGACATTGTAAACAGGACAAGCAGCCACCTCTCTAGGCCAGGCTATGCTGTTGCCTGCTTCTCATGGGGCAGTAGTCTGGGTCAAGTTGGGTCTCAGCACAGCCTCTGAACAGGAAACACCGTCCCTGCCACAGGCTCCCCAAGCCCTCCCTCTCGGAGGCTTCTCCCTGCCAGTTCCTGGCCATGGGAGCCGGTGACCTCACCACAGGGTGTCTCTCCACCCGGGGCCACTGCATCCCCCACCAGACACAGGAGGCCTCCAGTTAGGATTTTAGTGTATTAAATCAAGGATTTTTTCTTTTAACTTAGAGAAAACAAGACGTGACAACACCAGAAACAAGAACATCTCTCTGGCCAGCCTGTGCTGACCAGTACACAGTGAATCACACACAGAAAAGCATAAGTCATTCTGGTCGGTGTCTGCATTTGTAGAAGCTCTGCTGCCTGGAAAACAGACTGCAAATAAATAAAGTGCGTGGAGACCCTGTCACACAGCAAGGGCCCCCGAGAAGAGGAAGGGAGTGAGGTGGAGGAGCAGCAGGCGGGGCTACCACTTCAGGCAGCAGAAGTGAAAAAGCAGGAACAGGAGCAGATGCTGAGGGCTCAGCCCTGACCTTCCCCAACCACCCCTCTAGGCCAATACAGCCACAGCAGAAGCCACCGGGGGTGGGCAGACATGGACTTCTGTGCCCCTCTTATAGGGTGGGGCTTCCTGCAGTGGGAGGGGGATCTCTGAGGGCAGGGACCCCTGAGGCTCTGACATGCATTTCTCCCAGTAGGGAAGCAGCTTCCAGGGTCCCAAGCCGAGCCCCTTGCATGGGGAGGGCCTCAGGCACCCCCACACTCCCACGCATGCACTCAGAGAAGAGCTTTCCTCCACCCTTCCTCACTGGCCCAGGAAGAGGCTGGAGCTGGGGATCCAGTCACCCAGAGGGTGACACCAGGGTTTGAAAGTGCCACATCTGTGCATTATACACCAGGAGGCCCCTCATTCCTCTCTTCCAGCCCTGTGTCACTCTTGTCCCATGGAGGCTGCCCACAGAGATCTGTAGGGGGGAACCAGCAGGCTGACAGGCGCCCATGGGGGTCCAGGGTGGACAGAGTAGGGGTAGATGAGAGGGGCCAGCAGGGTCAGGGGTTCCCAGGAGACCTGGTACAAGGAGGCACACCATCAGGCCCTAGCTGTGGGAGACTGCAGGGGGCACGAGGCAGCCACCGTCCCCTCTTCTGGGGTCAAGCAGGTGGACAGCTTCATTCAGGACCTGGGTCCAGTGGGCAGCTGAGGAGGGTACATGGTAAGTGGCTGGGCCACTCTGTCCCTGGAGCTGGCCGACTGCTGCAGTTTTCAGTCCCAGGAACTGGGAACGTGGACCCTGGGGTACCGGTGTAAGAGATGCAGAAATGGGGATAGAGGGTGAGGGCAAGGGTCTCTTCCTGGCTCCCCTCTGGGCTGCTCCTGATCATTGTGGTACACCAGTTAGCAGCACACCAGGGGGCCCCCAGGACCAATCCAAGCTGTGAGGATGAGATTCTCCTGTGTGATCCTGAGGATGGTGGGTCGAGCTTCAGGAGAGAGAATTGGGGTCATGCCATGAGTCTCAGCCCAGGCCCACCCCTGGTTTATCTCTTCTCACCTCCTGGTTATGTCGTGTTTCCAGGAGCCACGACAACACCACCACCTCCACTTGGCCACCGAACTGGGAGGCTTGTGCCACTTCACTGCTGAGGAGCCCTTGGTGAAGCTCCAGGTGGGGTGGGGAGACTAGGTTCTGTGGGGAGAGCTTGGCTCCCCAGAGGTCCTGGGGCCCATCTCTCCTGTCTCCCATCTCAGCTGTCTGTCCTCCTGATCTTCCCTGTTACCTTCCATACTGCTCCAAGGAAAGCTAGATCCCCAGGTTCCCTCCCCCGGGCCCCTGTCTCCCTTGGTGCACTAGGAGCCCTATGCTTCCTCTCTGCTTCCCCCTCCCTCTTCCCACCATGCCAGGTCTTGGAGAAGACTGGGGAGGGGTGTGGGGGCCTGCAGGCCCAGGGGCACACTCAATTCCTCCTCCTCCTATCTTGGTGTCAAGGGCAAATCCCCCACCTCCCCAAAGCCTCAGTTTCCCCTGTCATTAGGAGGAGGAAATGCACTCCTTCAGTGTTGCTAGCAGATTTCAGTTCCCAGGGAACTCGGGCCTCCCTTCCCGAGCCAGGACGGGATCACCAGGCACCCCTGCCTCATGAGCCTTTGTCCGTGTTGTGCCTCTCCGAGGAAGACCCTTCCTCTCCTCCTGTTCAGGCCAGAGGTGCCCCCAGGCAAGGCCAGAGCATGGGCGGGTCATGGTCTACAAACACCAATGCCTGAAAGAGAAAGAAAGATAGATGGGGGCCTGAGTTGCCTAGCCACCAGAGAGGTCCTAGCTTCCCCCAGGAATGGTGTCCTCTGCAAGCCCCTCCTCCATCTGCTCTGCCCAGCCCAGGCTGAGAGCTGCTGTGTGCTCAGGCAGGTCTCCTTTTCCCAGATCACTTCAGTTACAGTGGGCTTCTTGAGGCCGTCTGGGGCCCGGAGGATGGGACTCTGGCCCTGGGAGGGCCTTGCTAGGGGCCTTAGGGAGCATGGGCTGACGTGGCAAAAGAGCAAGACTGTGGGGAAGGGGACAGTAGGAATGAATCTCTCCCACTCTTCCCTGTTTCCAAACGCAGAGCTTGGGGGGTGCCCTCAGGGAGGGGCGGGGGAGCACGAGGGACATCAGGACCAGGCACAGACCAGTCCTCTGGCCCCAAAGACAGGACAGGAGGCAGTACGGCCAAGGGCTGTGCAGGAGCTGCAGAGAGCCCCAAGGGCTGATGGCTGAGAAGAGAACAGATGTGGGGCTTGGCCTAGAAGAGAACCGACCTCCCTATGCCCACCAAATTGGGGGAGGAGAAGGGTGGGGCATCGTTGATTTTCTAGGCCCTTCCCTGGACCGCCACCCCCGGCCATTCCCCTCCATTCCCCAGTCAGGGGATACCCTCCAGGCCCATGCAGAAAGCGAGGCGGGCACTGGGGCCGGGGTGGGAGAGGGCCGCCCCTCATCCTATCCTAAAATCATGACTGGGGAGGACGTGAGAGCCTGCAGCTGCCTTTCCTTTCCCCAGCTGGGCTCCACAGCTCTTCGGGCTGGTTCGCCCCGTGCCTTGCATATTTGCCCCTGACCACCAAGGTGCCCCGCTAACTGGAGGGCAAAGCCACCGCTCCTCCCCCATTCCAACCTCTCGCCTCCTACCTTCCTGCTCCGGGCCTGGAAAGTCAAGTCGCAGCAACAGAATTCCCTCCTTCCGGCTTCCCCCTCTTTGGCCAATGTGAGGCAACAGGTCGGCCGAGCCCAGGTAGTTTCTGGAGCCCGATGGCAGGGGCCTGTTCAGTGCGTTTCTGCGCGATCTGGTACCCCTGGGCTGAAACCGGGGCTGGGCCCGGGGCCAGGGCCACGGCCAGGGCTAGGCGGTGGTGCCGGGGCGGCGGAGGTCTAGAGTCCAGGGGCCCGTGCTGCCCCGCCATCGCCCCCCGCCGCGTCCCAGCTGTCCCTCATGCCGGGGACCCGGCCGGGGGCGGACGGGGACAAGCGCGCCCCTCCAGCCAGGCCGCCGCCGCCGCTCACTCAATCCGCACCTGCAGGCGGACGTTGAGCATCACCGAAGCCACGATGTAAAAGTAGGGGAAGTTCATGCGCAGCCGCCAGGCCAGGTCGAAGAAGGTGAGCAACGTGCGCGTGAGCCCCTTGCAGAAGGCGCAGTACGAGCCGCGGGCCGCCGCCGAGCGCGACAGACGCACCGCCAGGCCAGACAGGGCCGCCGCCGCCGCCGCCGCCGACAGAGCCGCGGACGCCGCCATGGGCCCGGGCCCGGCGCAGGCCCAGACGACCGATTGACCCACAAGAGCGGGAGCCTCAGGGCGGCCGGACTGGAGCACTAGCGCGCCCCGCCGGCCGCAGGGTGCCCTATCCGCCCCGCCCTCTCCCCGCTCTCCGGCTTCCCAGACCGAGCCGAGCTCTGGTGGCCGCAGTCTCGGCCCCTCCTTCTCGAGCCCGCACAGCCCCGCCCCCTCCACACCCACTCACTAAAGGCCCCGCCCCCAATATAGCTCCACCCAGCGAAGCACGCCCCCAGCTGAAGCCTCAGAGAGGCGCCGCGACACCGCCTACTAGACACGCCCCCAGATTCGGCTCCGCCCACCGCTCCTCGTCCCGCCCACACAGCCCCGCCTCTTTCCGAGCGCCTCTGGAGGCAGGAGCGGATTGAAGGGTGGATGGAGCTGCCAGGGATCCTTTTGACAGTATATCCTAGGTGGAGCTGGAGTGGAGGAGGACAACCTGGAAGACAGATCTAGAGAATCTACATTAATCCCTTTCTCTTCTTAATCCATTGTTTGCCCTGTTGGCTGCACAAGGTTGTCTTGGGTTTTCCTTTGCTCTTGCTTATGGCCTTTTTGTTTTTCTGTTGCCAGTGTCCTTAAAAGCCCTTTCGTGGTTTCATTTATTAAACGTAAACCAACCCAAACCCAGTAGCGTTTTTTCCGGACAGTTTAATGAAGTAGGGGAAATGCTCACATTTCGTCATGGTCATGACTTTTGAAAAACAGTCTGCAAGAAGTAGATTCACCCGACCTCATCCCAGTTTTCACAAGAAATATTGACGTGGGTATTAAGAACTCTCAAAATACCTGTTTGCCGTCACACTTGATCATCTCTATGGTATCCCACGTAATTGTTTAAGGAACACAGCGGATTCATATACATCGATTGGGCAATTGTCCTACCTACATGGTCGAGTAAAAAAAAAAATCCAGTTCCAGAACCACTAGGTTATTGTGTGGACATCACGATTTTTCAACAACACAACACATCCATGCATGGTATACATGCATCGAAAAATGCCAGGGCAGGAGGCCGGGCGCAGTTTTTCTTTTCTTTCTTTTTTTCCCTCTGTCTTCCAGGCTCACAATCTCTGCTCATTCCAATCTCCGCCTCCCAGGTTCAAGTGATTCTCTTGCCTCAACCTCCTGAGTAGCTGGGACTACAGGTATGAGGCCAAGCCTGGCTAATTTTTGTATTTTTAGTAGAGACGGGGTTTCACCATGTTGGCCAGGCTGGTCTGGAACTCCTGACCTCAGGTGATCCAGTCGCCTTGGCCTCCCAAAGTGCTGGGATTATAGCTGTGAGTCACTGTGACCCGGCCAGACATGGTTTTTCCTGCCTGCAATCTCAGCACTTTGGGAGGCGGAGATGGGAGGATCACTTAAGGCTAGGCCTAGGCAACATAGCAAGATCCTTGTCTCTACAAAAAATACCTGTAGTCCCAGCTACTCAGGAGCCTGAGGTGGGAGGTTCACTTGAGCCCAGGAGTGTTTGATGTTACCGTGAGCTATGATCCTGCCACTGTATGATGGAGTGAGATGGAGTGAGACTGCCTCTACCACAAAAAGAAAAAAGCCGGGGCAGATATGTCAAATGGCTCTATACTGTTCTGGTTAAGACAATAGAAACATTTACACCTTTTACTCTGCTATATATGTACATATACCCAAATGTATGTCTATACATATTCCTTGTATAATACAATGAAAAAAATATTTGAAAAAGAAAGGGATGCAGAAATATAGACTTAAGCCACATAGAAACCCTTTGTTCCAGACTGAATTGAACCCCATTTATTTGCAGATTCTGTTGCTCCCAATCATTTCTGAAACCCCTCCTTGGCCTCATCTCATTTGTTTTTTAACATTTTGTTTGTAAATAATGATAGACTCACGGGAAATTTCAAAAATAGTACCAAAAAGGACCTTGTGCCTTTTATCCAGCTTCCCTCAACAGTGACATTTTTTGGTTGATGTAATGTAATATCAAAATCAAGAACTGAAATTGATGCATTACTGTTTACCAGACTACATACCTGATTTCGCTTGCAATATTTTTTAAACTTGCAGTAATGTGTGAGTGCGTGCACGTGTAGTCCTAACAATTTTACACCATGTAAGATTTGTGTAACCACAACTACAATGAAGATACAAAAATATTCCATCACCCAACAAAACTCCTTTAGGTTACCTCTTTGCACTCACATTCAGCCACTCTGCACATACTATGTTAGATTTATTTCCTCCTCTTTGGAGTGACTGCTAGTGGTATTGTGAGTTTTATTACATGTTAAATATTTGGTTTCCATGTGTTCATTGTTAGTATGTAGAACTACAACTAATATTTTAATTACATTATTAATCTTGAGATAATTGTATATTGACATGCAATTTTGGGAAAAAAACGTGGAGAGATCCCATGTACCCTTTAACCAGTTGCACTGGTTAATATCTTTCAAAACTATAGTACAATATCATAACCAGGATATTGGTATTGACACAATTCATCTCTCCTATACAGAAGTCCCTCGTGCTGCCCTTTTTTGACCAAGTCCACTTCCATCCCACTCTCCCTCCTTAATGATTGGCAACCCCACTAATGTGTTATCTATTTCTACAGTTTTGTCATTTCAAGAATGTTAAACAAATGGAATCATATGACATTGTAACCTTTGGGAATTGACTTTTTTCACTCAATACCATTCTCTAGAGAGTCATCCAAGTTGTTGGGGGCTTGAAGTGTCAACAGTTCTTAATTTCTTTTTGCTGCTGATTAGTACTCCTTAGTTGTACCACAGTTTAACCATTCACCCAGTTTTGGCTATTAGAAATAAAGCTGCTATGAATATTGATTTACAGCTATTGTGTGAAGACAGATGTCCATTTCTCTGGGTTAAATGTCTAAGTGTAATTGCTGGGTCATAAGGTGAATGTTAGGTTTTATAAGATTCTGCCAAACTATTTCTCAAGTGGCTCTAGGATTTATATTTCCACCAGCAATTTATAAGTATGTTGATTCTCTACATCCTCATCAGGATTTGGTGTTACCACTATTTTTTATTTTAAACATTTTGATAGGCATATAGTGATATCTGATTAGGCAAATACCAATAATGAAGGTAAAATATCATTTTATGTGCTCATTTTCTGTCTGTATATCCTTATTGGTATTGCCATTTTCTAGTTGGATGGTTTCCTACTGTTATATCTTGAGACTTCTTTATATTTTCTACATATGAGTCCTTTATCAGATATGTGGCCTGAAAAGATTTTCCTCCCGGCCTGTAGATTGTCTTTTCATTCTGTTATCAAGGACATTATCTGAGCAAAAGATTTAAATTTTGATGAAACACAGTTTATTAGTCCTTTTTATTTATGGATCATGGTTTTGGTATCATATGTAAGAACACCTTACCAAGCCTTAGGTCCTAAAGATTTTTTTCCTGTGCTTTCTTTTTGAAGTTTTATATTTCACATTTAATTTGGTGGCCTGCTTTGAGTTAACTTTTGTGTAATATTTGAGGTTTAAGTCCAGGTTCAATTTTATTAATGAATGTCTAATTATTAGAGCACAATTTGTTGGAAAGGGTATCCTTCCTCCACTGAATTTCATTCTCATCTTTGTCAAAAATCAGACTTGGATCTCTTTCTATGTTCTCTATTCTGTTGTATTGGCCTATGTGTCTATTCTTTTTTTAGTACCACACTGTCTTTATTACTGTTGGGATATAGCATATATCAATATGGGAGTATTCATCCATTGTCATACTGCTATAAGGAAATACCTGAGACTGGATCATTTATAAAGAAGAGGTTTAATTGACTCATGGTTCTGTAAGCTGTCAAAGAAGCATAGCAGCTTTTGTTTCTGGGGAGGCCTCGGGAAGCTTACAATCATGGCAGAAGGCAAAGGGGGGAGCAGGCACATCACATGGATGGAGCAGGAGAAAGAGAGCAGTTTGGGGGTGCCACACCCTTTTATACAACAAGATCTCATGAAAACCCACTTACTATCATGAGAACAGCACCAAAGGGATGGTGCTAAACCATTCATGAGAAACTACCCCTGAGAAACCACCCCCATGATCCAATTACCTCCCACCAGACCCCACATCCAAGACTGGGGATTACAATTTTACATGAGTATTACAGGGGACACACATCCAGACCATATCAATGGGGTAGCATGACTTCTCTCTCTCTCTCTCTCTCTCTCTCTCTCTCTCTCTCTCTCTCTGTCTCTCTCTTTTTTTAACATTTCTTTGGCTACTCTCGGGCTTGTGCCTGTCCATATACATTTTAGAATAAGCTTGTCTATGGGTACAAAAAGCCTTGCTGAAAATTGTGTTAAAATTACAGACCAGGGAGAGAGATCCAAGATGGCTGATTACTAGCAGCTCAGGATTGTAGCTCCCAGTGAAAGTGCAGAGAACAAGAGGACGCCACACTTTCAGACGAATTTTTGTTGCTCACAGACCAGGAAATTCCCAGCGGGAGGAGCCCCATGGGTCGCCAGCACAACTCTTGCGGCCGGCGTGGCAGTTTCGCTGGTGCCCCGGCGCGGCAGTTCTTGGTGCAGAGTAAACGGGACTGGGTCCCGTTTTGGTCGACATTCGGAGCTCTGGGAAGGCAGAGTCACCTATTCTGCTGATTGAAAAAGGGATTCAAGAAGGAAGACAGACCAGAGATTCCCAGGCAGAAAAGCACCATGAATCTTAACGCCACTGTTTTAGCTGGCACAGTGGGTTGCTCAGATTCTGGTGCTGGGAATCAACAAGTTGGACATCTACTCAGAGACCTAATTTGAAAGTCGGTAATTACAAAGATGACAGGTGGATAAATTTACAATGATGAGAAGAAACCAGTGTAAAAATGCTGAGAATACCCAAAATCAGAATGCTTCTCCGTCTACAGGGGATCACAGTTCCTCATCAACAAGGGAACAAGGCCTGAAGGAGAATGAGTGCGTTCCATTAACAGAATTAGGCTTCAGAAGGTGGATAATAAGAAATTTCTGTGAGTTAAAAGAACACGTTCTAGCCCAATGTAAAGAAACTAAGAACCTTGAAAACAGGTTTGACGAAATCCTAATGAGAATAGACAATTTAGAGAATATAAGTGAATTACTGGAACTGAAGAATACAATACGAGAACACCTAGAAGTATGCACAGGTTTTAACAGTTGAATTGATCAAG